AACAGTTGCGGGCTGCGCTTGGCCAAATATTATATATATGGCTGAAACTTAGTATACGGACACATAATCACTAAATGGCGGTGTTTATTCGCACACGTGCGGACTTTCGACAGGCAGGATGATAGTTGTCGTCACGAGTTTAATTTAAAGGATGCTTGTGGTCCTACTGTTGATCAAGGCGGGATCCCAGTGGTTCGGTTTGATGTTTGTGTGGACACTCGTGGTCCGTTTAATTAAAGGCTCTTGGGCGCCTGTTGTTTCAGTGGACCCTCGCGGTCCAGTAAGTTCGAGTGACACCGATTGTCCTGGTTGCGCTTGAGTGAAACGACGCAGGACGTTTGGTTTAGTTTCGTACTTAATAGCGAGCTGCACCAGAATCCTGAACCGGATGGAGAGTGCTTGGAGTGACCAAGGATACCGGCTGGCAATCCTTGGGAGCATGTAGTTCAAAGTGGTAGTTGACGTGATAAAACATCAATGGCTCCTGTATTAACCCAAAGTAACTGGTCGTTCATTGATAAATTGCATACTGACTTTATTCTAACAATTCATGGCTTATATAGCCATGCTTAAAACTAGCTTATGAATATTTACATTTACCATTTCGATGTGTTGGCGGTTTCACAATAATGATGTGCAAGCATATATTGTGAGTTTAAGTATGCTGGTGTCAGCTCAATTTGGCTTATAACCTTATATGTATGTGCAGTGCACGGAACTATGACCTATATCTCATTGTTGGTCTTATTCTGCTTATTCTTGCTTATTATTATTGCTTATGTTGGCTGGCCAGTGTCAATGCACCTGTAATTCGTGTGCGCGTGTAGACTATGGTGCCAAAGTTATCTATGCTAAAACAAGGGAGAACGCTATAGTCGAGCAGGCCCGAAAGTAAAATAGCCTGTACTCTCCACAAAAAAGGAAAATTTAAAAAAAAATTTTTTTTTTTTTAAATTAAATTATTTAAAAAAATTGAATTAATTAATTAAATTAAATTAGAAGACATATTTATGTTCAGTTTTAACAGCATACATTTACATCACGTGCCTACACGTCTTTATATACGTGTATGTATGCAGCACGAAGTTAAACCAAAGCAGCAAACACAAAAACAACAGCTGCGGGCAGCTGCTGCAGCTCTGCCGGCAGCGCATGAGCAGCGATTTTATTTATGGCTACAACTTTCTTCAGAATTGACCTATCATGATGATACTTGGCACACGGACACATAAGCACTAACTGGGTGTAACTACTGATTTCAAAATTCCAAGAATTACGGAAGTTATAAAAAAAACAAGGCAGTGGGGGGGGTGTATCAAAATAAAAAAACAAACAACCTGCCTAGGGGTCAGGGGAACCTGGATACCAAGTTTGGTCATTCTAGCTCTTGTACCTTCTGAGATCCTTGCGCTCATACAGACAGACGGACGGACGGACAAACGGACATGGCTATATCGACTCGGCTTGTGACCCTGATCAGGAATATATATACTTTGTGGGGTCTGCCACGCCTCCTTCTGTGTGTTACATATATTCGCACAAAACTAGTATAGCCTTTTACCCTTTGGGTAGAGGCTATAACAATATGTGTGTATAGGTTTATGTGTACTTATATGTATATTATGTGTTGCTAAGATATTTTAATGAATGCCTTTTTTCATCGCGTATATGAGATGCCATATACTCATTCGCGTCGTAACATTCTCCCCCCTAAATTGCGACCATTAGCAATTTACGAACTTATTACGCATGGTGCGTGAATATGGCTTATCAATTGAATTTTTTGTGCTTAGATGTGCCCTGGATGGTCAATTAATGTAACATGCAGGTGCACTTAACTGCTGGCTCTGTTTATTTTTTCGCAATTTACGCAACCTATTTTGCTATGCATGGAGCAAATATAGACATTGTCAATTGCATTTGATTCTAATAACTTGCCTACCACAGTTTTCTGAAGCAAAATATGCATGTCAGCAGTTGTTTTCTGTAAGACTGCCTTGAATATTTCGTTTAATGCAGTAAAGTTGGTCACTATGACCGGCCGTTGAGGCGAAGTCGAGATCAACTTTTGCAAGCGCGAAGTGCGTTTAGACCAGTTGAATGTGTCGATTTGTGGCGACCGGTAGTGCCGTATAGGCAACACTGTTGCTGGTCAAGTACGTTGCTGACCTACTAATATTACGGTAGTGATTAGTATGCGTACATCGCAAATGCTATCGCTATATGTATTTTGGGAGCGTTGCGTCAGCATTTAGCCGGCGGTTGGTATTGTGCGTTTGTACTTAACTATTCCAGAAAAAAATTCTTTGAAGCTTGCTCTTCTACTATACTACTTCTTAATGTAGTTTGCTTCTGAGTATCTGCTCACCTTTCTTATGGTGAGTGTTTAGAAAAAGTAAAATGCTATATATGTATAGGTGTCATTGTGTTAAATCTTTGCTTACTTATATTAATTCCGGTAGCTGATGCGGGTTGGTTGTCGTCTCTCAGTCTGGCACGGGCTACAGATCTGATGGTTGCGGTGTAGGACAGATAGAAGGCGGTATTGGTATCGCTCAGTGGCTGACGTCGGAGCCACAACATGATGCCGATTGAGATGATCAGGGTTACGTAGATGCCAATGGTGGCGATTACTGCTAAGTGGAACCGGCTTTATGTCGAGTAGTGCATTGCCAGAATGGTGAGTTGTGCTTGCTGCATCAACATGGTAAATTGGGCTGTACTTAGCGTTATTCGTAGTGACTGCTTACTAAACCTTGGTTGCCTTTCACGTTCTGCTTGTCGATGGATGCACAGTCCCAATCTGCCTCCAGTACTTGTAAGGTTAATGTACTGCATTTAGTTTTATTTTTTTTGCGTGGAGTGCGCTGTCTTGTATCGTAACTTGAGTCCAGTGTTCCAAACAGTCCGTTGGTAATGTTTAATGATCTCTTGTTCGGATCTGCGTTGCGTGCATCTTTTTATAGGCGCCTGTGTCGCAGGATATCCATCTCATGGGGCCGGAATTCGAGCAGTGACTGACATAACTGGCCTTGGTGAGAAGTATCATTAAATAGACGCTGTAAAGTTTAAATGCCTTGCTTGACAATCCTCATGTCTTCCCATAACGGTCGCAGGCATTGTAGCTAACGAATTTCCATTGGGAATCTACTGTGGCCATGGGTGGCTTTGCTTGACAGTGTATGCCAGGTGCATCTGACAGCTTAATATCGTTGACTCTGGGAGGCCTGGCTGCGGATAGTAATAAAAACGCCAATAGCAACAGTGCGTTAATCCATCTTGTGGGTGATAAACTTGTTGGTATTGCCGGTTTGACTCCCATGTTGTCGTTTATTATTGGTCGATTTCAGTCATGATTTGTCGGTTTATTGTTGGTCGATTTCGGTCTTGATTTGTCGGCTTTGATGACCAGTCGTCGGCTCCAGGTAGAGCGATCCAAGTTATTTAGGATGCGTGGCTCATAGATTCGTTTAGGGATGGTCGGTGTAGATGTCCGTTTAGGCTTCCTGTAGTACTACCCTGAATGTTCTACTACTGTGACAGTATGCCCGGATTGACCCTTTGTAACAGCCCCAATCCATCCGAGTGCAGTACGTTGTAATATGGGTTGGCCAATTCGTAGTAGTAACTGATGACGCTGCATCAGACGGTGATAAAATTCGGCACCAATCAACAAGTCAATTTTGGTAGACCGGTAGAACTCAGGATCAGCTAACTCCATCCCCATCGGCATTTGTACTTCATCTCTGGTGATCGTCGCCGATGGTTGGATTTCAAGTCTTTCAATAAGCGACTGGATGCAAAGTTGCCTTGGGATCCAGAATCCAGTAATGCTCGCACGATTTTGTGCTAACCATAGCGGCCTACTACTTTGACCTGTGCCGCTGCTAATAAAAGGTATTGGTTCTTAGTTCTAGAAATCGCTGTCCCGCTGTCCTTATGTAGCAATGTATGTGGCTGTTGGCATCGGAAGCACTGTCTGCTTGAGCATTATTGAGTTATATTATATTATTTTTATATTAATATATTATTATTTGAGTTAATAATTCCAAGAATTACAGAAGTTTTGAAAAATCATGAATTGCGGTGGTGAGGCGGGAAGGAACGAAATTCCAATATACACATTTTTTGCGTATTCACATAAAGCATTTGGGACTAAAATTTTGTGTCCCTAGATCTTGTAACATTTTTTATAACATCAGTTGCAATTCTGCGCGATGTCCATAAATTGGACAAAAATTGCATCCTGTTGTGGCGATCTATGTTTTCCCCCTGCAAAATCTAGCATTTCAAATTGAATTCAGAAATTACAAAAATTTAGTTAAATGGCAGTTATAACCATTCACATTTTCAGTAAAAAACAGACCTGCCCAATCGAGGACACAGAATTTTCACCAAGTTTAATTAATACACAGTTATTAGGCACTTATTTGAAACAAGGATTGGGTCTATTATACATATATTTTACCTTTGACTTTCGTTTGACTCACAAAGAAAGACTTAACTCAGCAAAGTGTGATGTTCGAAAAATATAATTTTCTATGTGAGCCAATTGGGAATCTCTGTTGCTTGGTTGTTTTGTAAGCTATGTGAATGTTAGTGTTATAATGTATACATTTAGTAATTTGCTAATTTAATAATATTTACATAGGATATGCAAATTATTTTTGATGCAGATTGTTCAGAAAAACTATAAGGTTAATATTGCATGAAATGTACAAGCGTATACTAGGTTGGCGAAAGATGAAAAATGTAACAGGCGGAAGGAGGCGTGGATGTGTCTCTGTCTGTCCGTATGAACACCTGGATCTCAGAGACTATAAGAACTCTCGCAAACCTAATATACATTTCAAGTACATTCACAAAAAACTATTCTCCACCTTTTCCTGGATTTCTTAAAATTTAAAGTTACGAATTTACGAAATTCTTTCAATATTGTGCTATATGTTGGCTAGGTATAGGGCTGAATATAATTTATTCTCCTTTTTTTCTACTTTTAGATATAATAATGGGAAGCTCGGAAAGTACGCCAAATCATCAAGTAGAAGGGTCTTGCAAAGAGGTGAACTCAAATATTGAAACACAATGTAACCAGCTACGTAAGACTACGTATCGGAATTACAAGGTATCTAAGAATGGAGACAGAAATCATAATGGTCAGCAAAATACATCTAGTGGAGATTTGGAAAGGCCCATCCCGACTCTAAGTAACAGTATTAACTCAAATTTCTTAGATTCACAATTTAAAGTTCTACCCAAAGTGAATGAATCTCTAAATTTAAGAGTTACAGAAAATGGGGCGATTCTGAGCTCTGGAGGAACTATAAGTGGACGTAGATCAAAGCCTATGTACCTAAAAGATAATACCGCTATGCGTCGGTCTAGTGCATTAATACACGCTTCTGAGAAGTCTTCCACAGCTAGATGCTTTTTGAGTCCAACGTTTGCTCGTTCTCAAACGATGATGCATATTAATGTAAATACCAAAGAATTTGATCCAAAAAAACAAAATAATATTTCAAACTTGCATCTTATGAAAAGGCAGACATACTCGGAACCTGAATTGAAAGAAAAGTGTATAAATGATTGTAAAGTAGATACCAGAAATGTCTTGGCATCAATGGGAAAAACAAATAAACAAAATAAATATAACAAAAAGCGTAGAGCCCCTGAAGCGCCTGTGGTAATTAATTCTGGCATGGTATCTGGCATTTCCATTTCAATATGCGATCAGCTTTCATCTAGGCAACGACCACAACTTTATACAAAGAATGCAGACCGAGGAAAGACACATATAATTTCTCTTATCTTGATGTTAGATTTAATGCGCATGATTGTTGAGTTCAACCTATCAACTTGGCCATTGGCACGTGGGAGGCCAGTCATGATAGTATGATGCTTAATCCCTTCACTTTCGCAATACTACCGGAACTCGCCTGCTGTGAATGCGGAACCTTTGTCGGATATTATGTGTATCGGGTTAGCAAACACATTGTTCTGCTCTTGTAGCTTTAAAACTACCTCGTTTTTGTCGTATAAAGCTGACAAACTTTGGTTAAGCTGTCTATCACTGCCAGTATGTGTTTATAGTTTTTTGTGTGTCGATTCAAGCGGACCTAGGAAATCAATATTGTACGTAATCCTTCCTTTCTTCCCTGCTTTCTATTGGAAATATTTTTGCAATTGTTTTGTTTGTTTGCAAAAGTTTCGGCATATAGAATTCCTTGCCTATAATTTCTTTTGTTTTCTTGAGTGAGCGATTTTAATAAATTATGTTTGCATGCCCACAGGTGCAACAATAAGTTCGTTGTCTCCTACAAGTTTATGCAAGACGTCGTGCTTTAGAAAGTAATTATTGTGAGTCAACTTTTCAGCTAAAATGTCAATAATAGCTTTTAATTCGTCATCCTGTGACTGCACATATTTCAGTTTGCTGTGTATGCTGCTCTCATTGATCATCATTACGGGGTAGAGACTGAGTGCGTCTGTCTTTTTGCCTTTTTTCTCCATTGTTTTCGCCAAGGCATTACAGTCCGTAATGAGTTTAAAAGGAAAGCCTAGTAAACAAACGCGGAACTTTCATAAGGCCTCAACTACTGCTAGAATTTCAAGCTCATATTTGTATGTGTAGTAGAATTATACAAATTTTGAAGAAAATAAAAAAAGAATTTTCCACCCTTGATATTCGAACTCTTCTAAAAGGTGTATAATTAGACATTTAAGGAATTGTGTCTATGCTCGTGTCTATTCGGGACTGTGTGCATGCAGCAAAATGTTGAACCAAAGCAGCAACAACAACAACAGTTGCGGGCTGCGCTTGGCCAAATATTATATATATGGCTGAAACTTAGTATACGGACACATAATCACTAAATGGCGGTGTTTATTCGCACACGTGCGGACTTTCGACAGGCAGGATGATAGTTGTCGTCACGAGTTTAATTTAAAGGATGCTTGTGGTCCTACTGTTGATCAAGGCGGGATCCCAGTGGTTCGGTTTGATGTTTGTGTGGACACTCGTGGTCCGTTTAATTAAAGGCTCTTGGGCGCCTGTTGTTTCAGTGGACCCTCGCGGTCCAGTAAGTTCGAGTGACACCGATTGTCCTGGTTGCGCTTGAGTGAAACGACGCAGGACGTTTGGTTTAGTTTCGTACTTAATAGCGAGCTGCACCAGAATCCTGAACCGGATGGAGAGTGCTTGGAGTGACCAAGGATACCGGCTGGCAATCCTTGGGAGCATGTAGTTCAAAGTGGTAGTTGACGTGATAAAACATCAATGGCTCCTGTATTAACCCAAAGTAACTGGTCGTTCATTGATAAATTGCATACTGACTTTATTCTAACAATTCATGGCTTATATAGCCATGCTTAAAACTAGCTTATGAATATTTACATTTACCATTTCGATGTGTTGGCGGTTTCACAATAATGATGTGCAAGCATATATTGTGAGTTTAAGTATGCTGGTGTCAGCTCAATTTGGCTTATAACCTTATATGTATGTGCAGTGCACGGAACTATGACCTATATCTCATTGTTGGTCTTATTCTGCTTATTCTTGCTTATTATTATTGCTTATGTTGGCTGGCCAGTGTCAATGCACCTGTAATTCGTGTGCGCGTGTAGACTATGGTGCCAAAGTTATCTATGCTAAAACAAGGGAGAACGCTATAGTCGAGCAGGCCCGAAAGTAAAATAGCCTGTACTCTCCACAAAAAAGGAAAATTTAAAAAAAAATTTTTTTTTTTTTAAATTAAATTATTTAAAAAAATTGAATTAATTAATTAAATTAAATTAGAAGACATATTTATGTTCAGTTTTAACAGCATACATTTACATCACGTGCCTACACGTCTTTATATACGTGTATGTATGCAGCACGAAGTTAAACCAAAGCAGCAAACACAAAAACAACAGCTGCGGGCAGCTGCTGCAGCTCTGCCGGCAGCGCATGAGCAGCGATTTTATTTATGGCTACAACTTTCTTCAGAATTGACCTATCATGATGATACTTGGCACACGGACACATAAGCACTAACTGGGTGTAACTACTGATTTCAAAATTCCAAGAATTACGGAAGTTATAAAAAAAACAAGGCAGTGGGGGGGGTGTATCAAAATAAAAAAACAAACAACCTGCCTAGGGGTCAGGGGAACCTGGATACCAAGTTTGGTCATTCTAGCTCTTGTACCTTCTGAGATCCTTGCGCTCATACAGACAGACGGACGGACGGACAAACGGACATGGCTATATCGACTCGGCTTGTGACCCTGATCAGGAATATATATACTTTGTGGGGTCTGCCACGCCTCCTTCTGTGTGTTACATATATTCGCACAAAACTAGTATAGCCTTTTACCCTTTGGGTAGAGGCTATAACAATATGTGTGTATAGGTTTATGTGTACTTATATGTATATTATGTGTTGCTAAGATATTTTAATGAATGCCTTTTTTCATCGCGTATATGAGATGCCATATACTCATTCGCGTCGTAACATTCTCCCCCCTAAATTGCGACCATTAGCAATTTACGAACTTATTACGCATGGTGCGTGAATATGGCTTATCAATTGAATTTTTTGTGCTTAGATGTGCCCTGGATGGTCAATTAATGTAACATGCAGGTGCACTTAACTGCTGGCTCTGTTTATTTTTTCGCAATTTACGCAACCTATTTTGCTATGCATGGAGCAAATATAGACATTGTCAATTGCATTTGATTCTAATAACTTGCCTACCACAGTTTTCTGAAGCAAAATATGCATGTCAGCAGTTGTTTTCTGTAAGACTGCCTTGAATATTTCGTTTAATGCAGTAAAGTTGGTCACTATGACCGGCCGTTGAGGCGAAGTCGAGATCAACTTTTGCAAGCGCGAAGTGCGTTTAGACCAGTTGAATGTGTCGATTTGTGGCGACCGGTAGTGCCGTATAGGCAACACTGTTGCTGGTCAAGTACGTTGCTGACCTACTAATATTACGGTAGTGATTAGTATGCGTACATCGCAAATGCTATCGCTATATGTATTTTGGGAGCGTTGCGTCAGCATTTAGCCGGCGGTTGGTATTGTGCGTTTGTACTTAACTATTCCAGAAAAAAATTCTTTGAAGCTTGCTCTTCTACTATACTACTTCTTAATGTAGTTTGCTTCTGAGTATCTGCTCACCTTTCTTATGGTGAGTGTTTAGAAAAAGTAAAATGCTATATATGTATAGGTGTCATTGTGTTAAATCTTTGCTTACTTATATTAATTCCGGTAGCTGATGCGGGTTGGTTGTCGTCTCTCAGTCTGGCACGGGCTACAGATCTGATGGTTGCGGTGTAGGACAGATAGAAGGCGGTATTGGTATCGCTCAGTGGCTGACGTCGGAGCCACAACATGATGCCGATTGAGATGATCAGGGTTACGTAGATGCCAATGGTGGCGATTACTGCTAAGTGGAACCGGCTTTATGTCGAGTAGTGCATTGCCAGAATGGTGAGTTGTGCTTGCTGCATCAACATGGTAAATTGGGCTGTACTTAGCGTTATTCGTAGTGACTGCTTACTAAACCTTGGTTGCCTTTCACGTTCTGCTTGTCGATGGATGCACAGTCCCAATCTGCCTCCAGTACTTGTAAGGTTAATGTACTGCATTTAGTTTTATTTTTTTTGCGTGGAGTGCGCTGTCTTGTATCGTAACTTGAGTCCAGTGTTCCAAACAGTCCGTTGGTAATGTTTAATGATCTCTTGTTCGGATCTGCGTTGCGTGCATCTTTTTATAGGCGCCTGTGTCGCAGGATATCCATCTCATGGGGCCGGAATTCGAGCAGTGACTGACATAACTGGCCTTGGTGAGAAGTATCATTAAATAGACGCTGTAAAGTTTAAATGCCTTGCTTGACAATCCTCATGTCTTCCCATAACGGTCGCAGGCATTGTAGCTAACGAATTTCCATTGGGAATCTACTGTGGCCATGGGTGGCTTTGCTTGACAGTGTATGCCAGGTGCATCTGACAGCTTAATATCGTTGACTCTGGGAGGCCTGGCTGCGGATAGTAATAAAAACGCCAATAGCAACAGTGCGTTAATCCATCTTGTGGGTGATAAACTTGTTGGTATTGCCGGTTTGACTCCCATGTTGTCGTTTATTATTGGTCGATTTCAGTCATGATTTGTCGGTTTATTGTTGGTCGATTTCGGTCTTGATTTGTCGGCTTTGATGACCAGTCGTCGGCTCCAGGTAGAGCGATCCAAGTTATTTAGGATGCGTGGCTCATAGATTCGTTTAGGGATGGTCGGTGTAGATGTCCGTTTAGGCTTCCTGTAGTACTACCCTGAATGTTCTACTACTGTGACAGTATGCCCGGATTGACCCTTTGTAACAGCCCCAATCCATCCGAGTGCAGTACGTTGTAATATGGGTTGGCCAATTCGTAGTAGTAACTGATGACGCTGCATCAGACGGTGATAAAATTCGGCACCAATCAACAAGTCAATTTTGGTAGACCGGTAGAACTCAGGATCAGCTAACTCCATCCCCATCGGCATTTGTACTTCATCTCTGGTGATCGTCGCCGATGGTTGGATTTCAAGTCTTTCAATAAGCGACTGGATGCAAAGTTGCCTTGGGATCCAGAATCCAGTAATGCTCGCACGATTTTGTGCTAACCATAGCGGCCTACTACTTTGACCTGTGCCGCTGCTAATAAAAGGTATTGGTTCTTAGTTCTAGAAATCGCTGTCCCGCTGTCCTTATGTAGCAATGTATGTGGCTGTTGGCATCGGAAGCACTGTCTGCTTGAGCATTATTGAGTTATATTATATTATTTTTATATTAATATATTATTATTTGAGTTAATAATTCCAAGAATTACAGAAGTTTTGAAAAATCATGAATTGCGGTGGTGAGGCGGGAAGGAACGAAATTCCAATATACACATTTTTTGCGTATTCACATAAAGCATTTGGGACTAAAATTTTGTGTCCCTAGATCTTGTAACATTTTTTATAACATCAGTTGCAATTCTGCGCGATGTCCATAAATTGGACAAAAATTGCATCCTGTTGTGGCGATCTATGTTTTCCCCCTGCAAAATCTAGCATTTCAAATTGAATTCAGAAATTACAAAAATTTAGTTAAATGGCAGTTATAACCATTCACATTTTCAGTAAAAAACAGACCTGCCCAATCGAGGACACAGAATTTTCACCAAGTTTAATTAATACACAGTTATTAGGCACTTATTTGAAACAAGGATTGGGTCTATTATACATATATTTTACCTTTGACTTTCGTTTGACTCACAAAGAAAGACTTAACTCAGCAAAGTGTGATGTTCGAAAAATATAATTTTCTATGTGAGCCAATTGGGAATCTCTGTTGCTTGGTTGTTTTGTAAGCTATGTGAATGTTAGTGTTATAATGTATACATTTAGTAATTTGCTAATTTAATAATATTTACATAGGATATGCAAATTATTTTTGATGCAGATTGTTCAGAAAAACTATAAGGTTAATATTGCATGAAATGTACAAGCGTATACTAGGTTGGCGAAAGATGAAAAATGTAACAGGCGGAAGGAGGCGTGGATGTGTCTCTGTCTGTCCGTATGAACACCTGGATCTCAGAGACTATAAGAACTCTCGCAAACCTAATATACATTTCAAGTACATTCACAAAAAACTATTCTCCACCTTTTCCTGGATTTCTTAAAATTTAAAGTTACGAATTTACGAAATTCTTTCAATATTGTGCTATATGTTGGCTAGGTATAGGGCTGAATATAATTTATTCTCCTTTTTTTCTACTTTTAGATATAATAATGGGAAGCTCGGAAAGTACGCCAAATCATCAAGTAGAAGGGTCTTGCAAAGAGGTGAACTCAAATATTGAAACACAATGTAACCAGCTACGTAAGACTACGTATCGGAATTACAAGGTATCTAAGAATGGAGACAGAAATCATAATGGTCAGCAAAATACATCTAGTGGAGATTTGGAAAGGCCCATCCCGACTCTAAGTAACAGTATTAACTCAAATTTCTTAGATTCACAATTTAAAGTTCTACCCAAAGTGAATGAATCTCTAAATTTAAGAGTTACAGAAAATGGGGCGATTCTGAGCTCTGGAGGAACTATAAGTGGACGTAGATCAAAGCCTATGTACCTAAAAGATAATACCGCTATGCGTCGGTCTAGTGCATTAATACACGCTTCTGAGAAGTCTTCCACAGCTAGATGCTTTTTGAGTCCAACGTTTGCTCGTTCTCAAACGATGATGCATATTAATGTAAATACCAAAGAATTTGATCCAAAAAAACAAAATAATATTTCAAACTTGCATCTTATGAAAAGGCAGACATACTCGGAACCTGAATTGAAAGAAAAGTGTATAAATGATTGTAAAGTAGATACCAGAAATGTCTTGGCATCAATGGGAAAAACAAATAAACAAAATAAATATAACAAAAAGCGTAGAGCCCCTGAAGCGCCTGTGGTAATTAATTCTGGCATGGTATCTGGCATTTCCATTTCAATATGCGATCAGCTTTCATCTAGGCAACGACCACAACTTTATACAAAGAATGCAGACCGAGGAAAGACACATATAACAAAAACAGTCGATAAACTTATTCCAACGCAGAATTCAAACAATATAATCCAGAGAAATACTGCCGAATTGAAGCCAAATAGGAAAATTGAGAACCACCTAAACGACTATGATCCCTCCACATTTCGTCAAGCTAATAGCAGCAGACGAAATTGGACTTTTAATCATTTTCATCCAGAAAAACTGGACAACTGCTCTGCTGTTGATAAGTTAAATAGTTCTTACGATCAATCAATTGAGCCAAATTCGATTCCGAAAATCAAACGCAGGTTTTATTATGGTATGGACGTGCATACCCCAACAACCGAACAAGTGGACGATATAGCACAATTTCAGTCAGTACAGAACTCAAATTTTACCTCCATAGTTAAAAAAAATGTGTATAACGAAGATGAAGCATCATTTTTTCCCCAATGTAAAAGTAATTTTTATAAGTTGATACGGATTGAAGAGAATATCGATGACAACGGGTTACTAGTGCGCATTCGCCCTACTCTTCCCCGTCGCCCACAAGTGGACTTGCTATCATTTAGCCCAGAGCTAGCATGGCACAATCTTTTAGAAATAGATGGACTTACTATAAATAAAAATACATACAATAATTTAAACAAAAATTTGTCGGATATTACACAGTCCAATATAAATAAAGGTATTTTTAACAATTTAAATGAGGAACTTCCAATAAGGCCAAGAAGAATGGTTCAAATATTCAAAATACCGAAATTGTACAATTCAAAAAGATCTGTAGCTCAAGAAAAAGATTTCGGTGATAAAAATGATGAAACCAATCAGGCTCTAACAGCTGAGTATGACTCAAGCTCAGATGAAAGCCGATCTAAAGAATGTGACGGTTTGCTGCTTTTTGGAAAAAAATCACAAGAACTTAGCCGGGATTCCAGCTTCATGTCACCTGTGCGTCTTATTAGTATTTCACTTCCTAAAAATTGCAAAATACACTATGACAGAGATTGTTTTCAAACAGGCAATGTATGTATTAAATAACAAAATATCCAAGAGTTGATGGTATATTATTCACATTATTTTTAATATTCGATCCTTTTAATAAAGATATGCGACTATGAAAGCCTTCAGAAATCTAACCAAGAGAATTTAGATAATATTTACATAAATAGCTTTGATTACAACAATAATTGGATGTTACATAAAAGCGACCAAAATATGGATGTTCATGGAAATTCTAAAAGACCTATTGAGACACTGGGAAATCTTTCTAAGGAATTACAGACGATTAAAATGCTTAAAGGAGGAAATTACGCTATATATTTACCTGGAAATTCAGAACATTTAACAAGTTCATTACAATATTTTCGTTCTAAACTTGGCGGAACGTATAAATAAAACTATTATCACCGGGTTTTAATAGGCAACGCAATGTCACGCAAAATTTACACGGTGAAGGACAGACCCTACCGACGGTGGTACGATATTAAGATCCAACATTTGTTCTTTGAACTTAATATTTTATTTTTATACATTTAAAAGTTAATTCCAGAAATTCATCACAATGAGGCACAAGAAAGATGCAAAAAAGAATCATCCGCATACTTATTGGAATTGGTGCAGAGAAATCCAAAGAAATGTGAGGTCGGCTAACTAAAAATGTATCTAAACAAGAGAGGAATGCTCTTAACTACCTTGTATTTCCTCCCACAAGAACAAAAAGGTTTCTTAATATATTGTTAAAACATTTTAAAAAAAAATTAATTAAATAATAAATAATATATATAAAGTCGTACAGTTTCAATAGAATACATATACATACATACATCAACATTGTGTCTATGGGTAGCTATTTGTGTAAGTGTAAGCCGTAAAGATTTGAACCATGCACTATGTTTTTTTCCCCCTTATTTTGGAATAAATTCGAAAAAAGAAGTTATGAAAGTCAAAAAAGGAATGGTAGAGTCAAGCGGGTTCAACTCTTAGATCTCCGCAACAGCTGCGGGCAGCGCTTTGGCAGCAAATATATTTATGGCTATAACTTCTTGTTAAAATGGTCTATTATAGTGAAACTTGGCATACGGACACATAATCACTGCAATTTGAGTTCGAAATTCCAGGAATTACGGGAGCTATGGAAGATCACTAATTGCGTGGGGGGGGGGGATGGGGTTGAAGGGGAATTCCAAAAAAACACATTTTCTGCGTATTCACATAAGGCATCTTGGACTTTAAATTTTATGTCCCTAGGTCTTATAGTCTCCGAGATATACATAGGCGATTATACGAATGGCGTAACGGAAAAAAACCCCAAAGGGGAGAAAAATCAACAACAAAAAATTTAACACAAACTCGTATAGCGTACACATAAGGCATATTTGTGCAAAATTTGGTGCCTCTAGTTCTTATAGTTTCTCAGATCCAGGTGTTCATACGGACAGACAGGGGTAGATCGACTCGTTTTGTCATGCTGATCAAGAATATATACTTTACTCTTGTACATTTCATGTATAGTATATATATATATATATATATATATATATATATATATATATATATATATATATATATATATATATATATATATCCTGACTGACTGGCTGATTGGCAATCAACGCACAGCCCAAACGGTAAGAGCTAGGAAGCTGAAATTTGGACACAAGATCCCTCTCACAGTGAAGCACTAAGAAGGGGCCTTTGAAATTTCGAGATCCAAAGAGCGCAACACTGGCTTCAACGTTTGTATGAAAAATGTTAATTTTTAATCCGAAAAACTTAGTTTGTATACTCTCATAAAGAATACAATAAAAACTGTTTATGAAATTTGGACAAAAATTGTCTTTTATGGTGTAGATGGGCACTAAGAAAAAATTCGAACGCCAAAGGGGGGAAAACGGGCTCAAAAGATTGGATGAAAAATCTGCAATTTTAATTTGATTAGTGTTGTGACGCGGCATAAACAGTGCCGGCAATTCAGTGCACCTGTAGGTTACATGAATTGACCATCCAGAGCACATGAAGGTGTATACTAAGCACAAGAAATGCGATTGCGAAGCCATATTCACGCACCATGCGTAATAATAATAAATTGCGAAAGGTCGCAATCTTTGTACACCCATATTGTTTTAGCATAGATAATATTGGGACCATAGTCTGCACGAATTACAGGTGCATTGACACTAGCCAGTCAACATAGGCAATAATAAGCAAGAATAAGACACATATTATTCTGCTACCTCAGTATAAGACCAACAATCAGGTCATAGGGCTGACACCAGCATACTTAAGCTCAAAATATATGCTTGGGCATCATTATGGTGAAACCGCCAACACATAGAAATATTAAATGTACATAAATAGTCATATGCTAGTTTTAAGCATGGTTATGTAAGCCATGATTTGTAAGAATAAAATCAGTATGCAAATTATCAACGAACGGCCTGTTACCGACTACCATGTTGACTACATGCTCCCAAGGATTGCCATCCGGAATCCTTGGTCACTACAAACGTCCTGCGTCGTTTCACTCTAGATAACCAGGACAACCGGTGTTACTCGCACCTACTGGACCTCGAGGTTCCCCTGAAGCAGCAGGGTCACAAGTGCCTTTAATTAAACGGACCACGAGTGTCCACCTAACATCAAGCCGGACCACTAGGGTCCCGACTTGATCAACAGAAGGACAACAAGCGTCCTTTAGCTTAACTCGTCAGGACCGCAATCTTCCTGCCGATTCGCACTACCGCACGTGTGCGAATAAACAATTGGCTTCTATAAAAGAATTCAAAAAACACTGCATAACAACACAATCAACACCCCACAGAAATTGAAGCTCAAGTATCCCATCATAGTCTAGATGAGCACTAATTTTTGGTAAATTCCAGCTCCAAGTGGGGGAAAACGAGCTCAAAAGTTTGTTTGAAGAATCTGCATTTTCTCACTAATCAACTAAAAATTTGGTTTTTATACATTCTATAAAAGAATGCAAAAACAAGTAAAAAAGTTAAAGTCAAATGTCCCGACTTTGAAATACTCTGTAAGAAGAAAATTAAAAAAAAATTTTTTGATCGATTTTACCTCTCTCGGTATTCGAACTCACGTAAAGGATGTATAATTGTACATGTACAAACCAATTGCATATATGTGAATGCCTATGTCTATGCGTGTCCGTGTGAGCATGTTTGCAGTCAACCAAAGCACCAAACAGAGCTTCTTGTTAAATCGGTCTATCATAATAACATGGCATATGGACACATAATCACTAACTGGGGGTATTTGCAAAATTTGAGTTCGAAATTCCAAGAATTTCGGGAATTACGATTTGATGGGGAGAGGGAGGAGGGAGGGAAATTCCAAAATACACATTTTCTGCGTATTCACATACGGCATCTTGGACTAAAATATTAGTTTAAAAATATTTTTTTTATTTATGTTTGTTTGTTTGTTTATTAATTCCTAGTACGACAAGAAGATTTCTTATAAATTAATGAACTAGTCACAAAGTATGCAATTTTCTTAGATAAAATGAATAGTGATGTTTATAACCTACTTAACCTACTTTTATAAGATTAATATTATTAATACATAAATTTAAGGCTTGTTTTTCTTTCGGTTTTTTTTTTCCTGTTTTTATATTATTATTAATACATATGTAAATTTAAGGTGATTTTTCTTTTGCTCTTATCGTTATCATTATATTGGTACAAGAGAGTTGCCTAATGAATGTAAATGTATAGTATAGGTTTAGTGCTTTTTGTTTTTCAATTAGTTATACTTTTGGAAGTGTGCTTCAATTCTAGTTCTAAAATGCGTCTCGTTGCTGATTATTTTTAAGTTATGTGGTAGCTCGTTCCACAGACGAACAGCAAAGATGAAAAAGTGCTTTTCTAAACTGGATAATCTATATCTCTCGCAAACTATATTATTGGTTCTTCTTGATGAATTAAATGAGATTATGTTATACAGATAGTTCGGTTCTTTACGATTAATGGTTCTATGCAAGAAAATTAGAGTCCTAAGTTTTATCCACGAGTGAAGAGTCAGGTTAAAAATTTTGTTAGCGTATGTCGTTATAGACTCTCTTCGTTTAATGTTATAGACATATCGCGCAATGCTGTTGAAGGCGACTTTTAATTTATTCCAAATAACTCAATCTCATAAAATAATGAGGGTATCAGGTATGACTTTGCAATAAGAAGCTTGAGTTTGCCTGGGAGGAAATTCTGCGTCAAAGAGAGATGCCTTAGTGCACTATAAGTTCTTCCTACTGCATTGTTAACGTGATTATGCCAGGATAGAGTCTCATTGATGGTGATTCCTAAGTTATTTGCCTTCTTGACATAATCAATATGCTCATTGCTGAGTTTCAATTTCTCTAGATTGAGTGAGTTAATTTTCTTTTTATATAATACCAGGCATTTAGATTTTTTCGGATTTAACTGTAGACCATTAATTCTCGCCCATTTACTGATTTTTAACAGATCGTCATTACAGACACTAACACATAACTAACTAACATATAACTGGACATCATCTGCGTACATGTGAATCTCGCAATTGGACACGAAACATGGAAGGTCGTTAACATAAATAGAAAATAACAGAGGCCCTAACACCGATCCCTGTGGGACACCACGTTTTATTGACATAAAAGACGAAAAACTACACGAGGTGACAACTGCTTGATGGCGACCGGATAGGTACGATTGCACTAGACTTATTGCCGAGTCAGAGAAGTTGAAGAGTCTTTTTAGTTTTGTGCAAAGTATGGTATGGTTTACCGTGTCAAAAGCTTTAGATTAGTCAAGAAGTGTAAGAAAAGTTACCATACTGTTGTCGACTTGCTTGCGAATGTCCTCTGTAATTTTTAACAGTGATGTTATGCAGCTTCTATTCTTTCTAAAGCCCGATTGTTTGTCAGTTAATAATGATTTTCCTACCAAGAAGTTAGTAATTTGGTTAGCCATTAGTTGTTCAAATGCTTTTGAGAGAAATGGAAGAATGGAAATTGGCCGAAATTCATTGTCTCCCTTAGGTATAGGGATTATTTTTCCGAATTTCCATTTGTACGGAAAGCATGAGGTTGTAAGAATGGAGTTAAAAATATATGTAATATGCTTTAAGATTATAGGGAGTAAAAATTTTAAAAATGGGTGAATTTCATCAAGACCAGTGGCGTTTGACTTCACTTTGACGATGGAATCTAAAACATCACATTGACGTACACACATAAAACTAAAACTAATATCACAATTTAGCGGCGAAGTGTGGTTCAGGTATGTTCTTGGTAAAAATACGGTTGGCAAATTAGCCGATATTTAATATGAAAATAAGTACATTTAAGGGTCGCAAAATGTGGCAAAATTTGTAAAACAAGTGTAATTAAATAAAAAAAAATACATATATGTTTATATGTATGTATGTACATCTTTTGATAATTTAAAATATACTTGTATTGTTTTTTTTTTTTTAATTCGCCGCTCAAATTTGTTACCGATCTAATATTGTATATGAGCAAACATATTACATCGGTATCCAGGGAACACCACGTGGAGGCCATCAACATTTTAATGGGGTCGTAAATTAATAGGACCTTTGAGTCGACTTGAAATGACTTAATTTCAAAAATGCATAACATTTTAATTACTATTTATAATATTTGCTATTATATAAAAATAAAGTAAGAAAAAATTCTACTGCTTAATTATTTTT